GGATCTATTCATTCAAATTTTGTGAAGGAAATTTTCTAGTTTTAACTTATTTTCCATTTGATTAAAACGCCACGGTAATTAATGTTATATTTGCTATAAAACAGTATTTATGAAATTTCTGAAATTTTCTATTTGCTTTTGCTTTTTCTCGAACATCGTTCATTTTCCGAATTCATTTTTTTTTAAAGCCATTTTCGGTGATTACTTTTCGTTTGAATATGAATATGTTTTGCTAATGCTTAGAATGTGTCTACTTATAATTTAAAAGATTTAATTATTGAATTTTCGTATTTAAATCAACAACTTTATGAATGGTTTTTCCTATCGGATGACATACATCAGCATTAATGTAATACTGATAATTTGTGTGACTAATTAAGCCTTAGAAATACACATGTTGCACACTTTAAACCTCACACTTTCACTGCACATCTTGAAATTTACATCGCAATTACACATTCCAAATACGTTAATAAAACTTTATTTATAGGCTGGAAATGAAGTAAAGCATTAAAAGAAACGATATTAGTTGCCAAGTTAATAATACTTCACTTATACAGTTTTATTCAAATTGAAATGCAAAATTTCCATTGAATCAGATTATTGTCATTGTTGAAATAATGCTTAATAAATTCATGTTAACAGATGGCCAATGGAAAGATTGAGACTAAGTAATGGACCAACCTCAAATGGCCAAACAATCATCCGTGTCACCATACACATGAAAAAAAAAATCAATTATTGCCAACATTTAGCGAAGTACTTTAATTATGTTGTCGTAGGATTATGTGTGCCGCAAATGAATCAATTAGATGAAGCACAATGGTGTCAACTTCAGATTATAATTTAATTTTTATTCCAGCAAACAATTAATGATTTTAAACATTTCCATTTGAGATATAGTTAACAGGAATATTCTGAATGAGATAGGGAAATAAAGTAATATCAGAAATAAATTTGCGTATTAAATACCATATCAAATATAATAAGATATGAATACTTTCGTAGAAAATGAATAAAATTATGAAGTAAAAAAGAAAAAATTTGGCAAAAATTTCTACTGTTAATAACAAAAAATCAAAACAATTTTATCGAAGAAATTTTTAACAATAAATTTCACTGGAAGAAATAGAACAAAAATACATCTTTTAGTCTATACAGACACATCTCCTTGATTGATATTCAATTAATTCAATTGAACGTATTGTTGGAACATTTTTATATGAAGTATGAAACGAATTTTTCAGATTTATTAACGCTTTTTTCGCTACCAAAAATTTCTCGTATTTGTTTATTTTTATAAAAATGCTTCAATAATATGAAAAAGTTTATCGAATTTCCCCCTATTAAATATGCCTTAAAATTCTGAAAACACTACAAATTTTTTAAAAATTACTTGGATAACTGATTTTTGTAACTTATAATTATATCGATTATAAAACTATGCACTGGAAAACTACCTGAAAGTCTGAAAAAAAAACACTTTCAGAAAATTTCTGCATTTTTTCTCTTTCGGAAAATGTCAAATTGAAAAGTCTTAAAAGAACAAAATAAGGTTATACAGCGAAAAATAAAAATTTTAGCTGACAATTTCTGATCACAGAAAGCACTTTCGTAAGAATTTTTCAAAATGTTACGTTATTTAAGCAAAAATTTTTCAAACCACATATAAGCAGAAGACGAAGTAAACAGGCTGTCACCAGACGGGACAATAAAATAAACGTAATGTGATCTAAGGCCAGCATCAGGATGTCTGACATGATGTATCAGCGGAAGAAGCGCAGTAGTGAATGATAGAACATTAACATCACTTTGATAGGAATAGGATCTGCAAGAACTTCAACGTTCCTTCAATATTTGGATTTAATGAGCAGGATGGATAAATTTAATCGAAATTAGGGGCATTCTATATTCTTGATTAGATTAGGGATAATTTCTTGAATGCTTTTAAAGCCATGCCTTATAATCATTTTTTGTGCCAAATCATAGTTCTAATAATATTGTATATTTCAGTTATGTGTTGTAAGTTTATTCCCTCGTTTTACATGCTTCTATCGATAGCAAATGGGGTATATTGGGATGGTGGTAGGCAACAAATATATCCAGGAATGCCACCACAAGGTATGGGACCGCAGCCTCCGCACCCCGCACAGTTGCAAATCCTTCAACCGCAACAACCGCAACAACCGCAACAACCGCAACAACCGCAACAACCGCAAAGTATCTAATTACCATCATGGAATATTCTCCAGAATTTTTACTTCTTACAGTTCCCTATTGTGATTCAAAAAGTATGATCGATCAAAGTTCGTTTAAATCTAAGTAAATTTCAACGGGCTTCTCTGATTTCAGGTTTTGATAAAAAATGTGCTGGCTGCATAATAAATATAAATTGCGGAGGTACAGATTGCATACCGACAACACCGTCATACACGCGGGAAACAACAGTATGGACGATACCGCCAACACAGACACCACCGACATTAGCACCGACCTGGACTTACGCAACTGCAAGACCAACGCCAAAAAGTTGCATGTGTGCATGCTATATGCCTCCGCCATGTCAGATATGTCAACCATGTCAGTGACAACTATGAGCGTTTCATTTAACCATAGTTAAAACAAAAATTACTTTTCACTTATTTTTTATTGATCAGTAAAGCGATTTAGTAAACTTCTTGTAAACATATAGCAGAAGATAGTTTTAACAAAACAAAA